TTTTTTACAGTCTATCCTATGCTTATGGTTGATAAGAATTTGGATGATACCCCATACAACACTCAAAACTTGTGAAATTATAGCCATTTCTTGCATAGAGGTGATCTCCTGTGATCGCAGAGATATCCAACGTGTTCGTTGAAGGTTAGAGCACTGCTGCACCTGTCAAAAGCCGTGCATACAATATACAGGGGCAGGAGCAGGACTGAGGGCCACAGGACGACAGCGGTAGTCCTCTGAACTAATCAGTGTGGTAATGATAACAAATACTTGCTATAATGATGCTGCTAACCTTGTGTTTTCTTTACTGTACTGCACTCTACTGTACTGTACCTACTTTACAAAGGCTTGGCATTATGTCACTTTGCATGTAATGAGTCCATATCATGTATTGGTTTCACATTTTAAGTTGAATTACAGAATAAAATGAACTTTTGAGTTTCACCTGTAGTTGCCACTTGAAAAGTTGAATGAGATTTGTCTATTCTATACCATCCACACCATGTCATGAATAGGGTATGTGATTATTGCTGTAGGTCTCAAAGCCAATTACTAATGGGAGCCAATTCAGTGAAACCTGAAAAAGAGGCTTTTCTCCTTTGTAATCTCCCCTCGCGTCTGATTAGCGTGCGTTAATCCTGGGCTTTAAATTCATAATCAAACTAATTACACTCCGCGCACTTTCAGCTCCCTGGCCCCTCAGTCCAACGCACAACTTGCAAGGTTATCGTCCGCGGTTCAGAATCCGGCGAACGCTAAAGGCCAGCGTCGTCACTCACAGTTTAAATATTTCACTTGTAATCTGCAGCTCGGTTATGTTCTCGGATATGTGCGGAATTTGGGTTTTCACGGTCGCGATCTCTGAGCCGGTTTAGGCTCCTGAAGGCCACTAACCTCGCTAATAAGAAGGTAACAGAGCCGACAAGAGAGGATAATGATTCCTGGATTCATCAGACATTCTAATACGTATGATGCCCACAAAAATATGAATCGGAAATGAAAAAACACAAATGTTTTGACTAGTATATTCAAAAGGTGAGAGCTTGCCTTATGGGAACTGTAAATAAAATTTATTTATACTATAAATTTAATTTATTATAATTTATTACAATCTTAGTTTGCATTTACAATACAGGTGAAACCTGGAAAAATTAGAATATCGGGAGATAGCAAAGGGAGATACAGTCTATCATGGCTTTACTGGTTTCAAATTTTTATGTGGAATTACAAAAATAAATGAACTTTTTAACAATATTCTAATTATCTGAAATCCATCTGTAGTTGTGATCATATTATTTTTTGCAGAAATAACCAGCATATTGGTTTAAAGTGGCTCACCAAAATGATTTATCAAAATCCTTTTGGGGAGCTGCTTACAAACAGAGCTATAGGCCCCCCACCTGTGAGCCACCTCAGTCCTGCATTGCGCAGCCTCAGTCCTCGTTCATACAGCATGAGCCCGTCCATCTGTGGGAGTGGATGCCTCCCTCAATGTGGGCCTCCCTGAGGTTTCTTACTTGCCGAGGCAGGATGGTCTAAAGACAATTAATTTATGGACATCAACATATTAACATATAGATGGACATTTTTTTTCTGTCCTTTATCTATGGGTCATACTGTGTCCTTAATAGGGATTATAATAACAACAATCGGCCATTTTCCCCTTATAGACAAATGGCTCTCTGATCTGATCTCTGATTCCCTGATCTGTGTTGGCAAATTGACCACTTCCTATGAGATAACTACTGCAGTGATTAAAGGCAATACAAAAATGAATTAAATTGAATTGAACAGGTTTTATATCCCTGGGGCCTAAATGTTACTTTTTGTCAAGAAACAATAGAAAGTGGTAAAAATGGTGTAAATTGCATTGAAGAGTCCTGCAATGGGGAATATCATATGGTAGATGTCAAGATGTGTGTGCAATTAATATTTAGAAAATTAAGTTTGGCAAAGTGGTCAAATATTAGTTCAATTATTGAGGAAAGAACTGTTATTGGTTGTCAAGTACAGTAGGCCCTGGCTTTGATTCCACCACTACAGGGGGCCTTTCTCTGTGGAGTTTGCATGTTCTCACTGTGTCTACGTAGTTTTCCACCGATTGCTGTGGTTTCCCCTATATTATAATAATGTACAGTAGTCTCCCATAATACCACCACTCTCCCCAGTGTCTGGGACCACGATCTCAATGAGACTTTCCCGGTTAAATATCGATAATTTTTCATATAAAACATGTTTGTTTAAAAAAGGCTCGATATGTTTCACTTTTTGTACAATGAGTCTGTCATATATACAGTAAGTTCCACATTTTAAGCTGACTTACAGAAGTAAATGGACTTTTCAACAATATTGTACCTGTACAAGCCCGCCGTCAACTTCATTGAACACACTCCCATTGACTGAGACGACCAGGCCCGTCCTAAGGGCTGTGCGACCTGTGCCGTCGCACAGGGCCTCGCACCACACAGGGGCCTCGCAATCTTCCTTCCTTTTATTTTATTTTATAAATACACTAGTTCAAGGGTCCCCAAAGGGCAGACTGCACTCCAAATTTGGAACCCTAAACCCCTTTCTCTGGACCTCTTTGATTTCGTTTGATCAAAAGAACATTTTTACAAGTAAAGTCAAATTTTCACCAAAAGCGATTTGTAAACAGGCAGGCGCGCGGGCAGCTATGTATGCAACGGGTCCTCCGAAAAAACTGTCAGATAACTTTAGCAGTGTCTGAGTGAGATACAAAGAAAGTAACGGGAATGATCGCAGTGTAGGAGAGATGGATACTCGCGGAGGAGGAGCAGTGAGACAGGTGTGAGCAGAGGAGCAGACCCCTTTGTGTGAGCAGAGGAGGAGGAGGAGGATCAGCGGTGTGACAGGTGTGTGAGCGCTGCTATTGCCAATGTTTAGTCCGAATATCCACATCAAAAACATATTTTTAAAAGCATTAGCAAACACACTGTATGTCTAGCTTTAGCTAGCTGGAGTGTTTTTGTTGTGGTCAGAGTGTGTGGAGGAGGAGGTGAAGAGTATTTTGTTGTTGTCAGTGTGGAGGAGGAGGAGTGTATGTTGTCAGAGTGTGTGGAGGCATGGCAAAAACGTTATTTGATGAGAAAATAATAATATTGACTCCGCCTCATAGCCATTTTGGCGCATTTTGCCCAAATCTAACTATTAGAAGAAAAAGACTCCTTTTGGTTCAATCTTTTGAGTTGCTCTGCCATTTTGCCACAGGACGAAAGAGACATGTCAGCTAAAAAGACCGCGACCAATATTGCACGTAGAGTGTGTGTGCGTGTGTACGTGCGCGCGCCAAACGCTGCATAGGAGCGAAGACACTCGGTTACACGCGTGCTGATCTCGTCAAGCACCGCGCGAGGTGGTGCTGAATTCATGTCAAAGATTATAACAGGAAAAACTTTCCTCAGATCTGGGAAAAAAGTGTCAGGGCAGGGCCTCGCGTTTCGAGTTCGCACAGGGCCTCGCACCCCCCTTGGGACGGGCCTGGAGACGACCCTAACCTAACCATAACCGCCTGTCCTCTCTCCACTCACTCCGCAGCAGCTACTTCATCGCGTGTCTAAAAGTTGTTGTCTCGGAGGGCTGCGGTGGCTTGATGTTGTTTAGACTCCTCTCCAGCCTGGGGGCCCCTGGAGACCTGTCTTTTCTGCAGCCATCCCAGCCTCCTGCTCCCTGCTCGGCTGCATCCGTATCGCACTAATGATCATGGGAGTGGACAGCTGCCTAATGCACTGGTGTCATCAGCGCCTCTCCCCGATAGCGCTTCCATTGCACTTGACGGGCCCTTCCAGACGCCTGTGCTCCTGCTCGGGCTAATACTCTGCCTCGGAACACCTTGGCGAAAGTGTATTAGCCGCGTGCCATTTCGCATTTGCGGCGTATGATCACAGATGTAGCTCCGATCATTTGTCAAAAGCGCTGCCAGATTCACGAGGCACGTCCAAATGACATTATGAGCATGTCCTAAGTGATTTTTAGTGGAGTAGCGGAGGCCTGCATCTTTCAAATCAGTAACAGGCCTCGGCGGTGTGAGTGTGACAGGAGATATACACAGCACTCTGCTCATGCTTGTAATACAGCAGCTAATGCAGGCTTTCTATGGCCATTTTTAATTGAATGTTGAACTTTATAATCATAGTTTTGACAAGCTCTAAATATAGAGCACATTAGTTACAGATTTCAATAATATTTCATTGTTTTGTTATTACACTGGGGGTTCAGTTTGTGAAAAAACGAGCTTGTGCACGACTTCTTCCACTTTGGCGCTTAAAGGTTAATTTAAGTAACTATAAGATGCATTTTTGAATCTGTCTTGGATTGTTTAGCAAAAGTTGTAGAAATGGTTAAATTCATGCTGACTGCTGCTGTTTGTGGTTTTCTTGACATTCTTTGATGTGGCAATAAGTTAGGCTTAAATAAGTGGTGCCGCCTAAACCCGTTCTGTCATTGTATCATGAATAAGGTCTTGTAGATGTCTGAGCTGGCTAAACAAATACACTGCTACAACTACTACAACTACTACTATTCAATTCAATTTTGGATAGCCCTAAATCACAATCACAATCTAACTGTTTGAACACAGGACATACAATAATAGCAAACACATAGGAGCCATTGGTCCATAGGAAGTGGGATGACCAATTCAATTTCAATTTAATTCAATCTATTCCTGTATAGCCCTAAATCACAACAGTATTTATCTCAGAGGACTTAACAAAATCGTTGAATTCGCCAACACAGATCAGAGTAAACAGTTCAACACAAGCAAAACATATAGAGCCATTGGTCCATAAGGGGCATATGACCAATGTCCATAAATGTTAATAAATGTCCTTAAATGTCCCTGATCATCACAGTCCTTAGACCCTCCTCCTCCTACTACTACTACTGCTACTCCTACACATGAACAAAATTACACATTTTTTCTTTCTGAATCAACCTCATCTTTCCGCGCTGTCCCCTCCTTTCTCTTTCACCCCCTCAGTTCACATTTCAACCTTCTCCCAGGAGCTCGCGGGTCCATGCCAGACGTGAATTTGCTGAGTGTGCGCAGAGGCCACACGAGGAGGGACACTGAATACAAGCAGGCCCCTCTCCTCCTCCTCCTCCTCCTCCTCTCCCCCTGGCCTGTCCCGCTCCACACTGTCCTGCCAGGCTACACAGGTCCTCAGGGTGACTGCATGGCTATAGGGTCCCTTCCTCTCCCTCTCTTTCCTTTGGGTGCGCTCTATATATGCGTCTGTCAGCAGAGAGGTGTTTACGTGCGGGGCGACAGTGCGAAACATCTGGAGCACATATTCGCCAATCTCTCTTTTCTAAGGCTGGATGATTATTCGCTGTCACATCAGAATCGCACATTTTGACCAGTGGTAGAAGGAGAAAGCTTTTGTGGTGCTTTGCGTATTGTTTCTTCTATCACACAAAACATATATACTTTTCATACATACATTTAAAGGTGCACATTGTTTAGTTTTGCACGTTTGTTCAGTTACTTTGAGTTCACTTTGAGTTTCCTTGTGTAGGAACCATGCCTTTTGCTTACAATTGCTTAAATGTTTTGTCTCTTTAACAGTTTAGTAACACTAAGCCACATTTGTAATTTGTTGATTCCCACAGTTACATTGGCCAAACGTATATCTGGGTCATCAGCAAAGTGTATGAATAATGTGGGTCCCAGAATTGACCCTTGCTGGACCCCACAGGTTGTAGGTCCCTATATCCTGAATTTTTTGCCTGGAATGTTCCTCTGCATGCATGGCATAACTTTTGAGAAAACCGAGTGACTTCACTTCTGCAAAGTTTTGGGAACATTCAATTTGATACGATTGGATATAATTCCATATGACAAAAAAGTTTGTTAGGCTTATCTACTGCTCCGCTAAATTTTAACCAGTGTTACTGCATTTATATTTTAGTAGTCCATATAAGTTATAGGTTCCAAAAGAAATATTTCTAAAGAAATAAATCTATATATTTTGAAAACATTTTTTTTGGCTAAAAGCTTAGAGTAAACATTTGTCATTCAGCCAACTTTAACTCTATGAAATGTTGGAATGTCAGACCTGATTTTAAAGGTCAATACAGACAAATCCATTCCAAAAAGCACATTTTAGCTGTTTTTGAAATGATTTAGCTGGTTAACTAAAGTGGCTCGCTCATAAAAAGTTTAACTAATTGATCCACAAGGAAAGGAAGTATCCAGGAGCTCACACATTACAACGAGAGGACACAGAAACGTGAGATGTGTTGTAATCTACATCTTGTAAGTATTATAGTTTAGAAGTTCAAGTTTAAGTCTTCCATACTGTCTTCTGCAGTGATTTTTTTTTTTCATTACATATATGATTCCACTCTGTAATATCATGCATTTCCCCCTCCCCTCCTCTTCCCTTCTCTCCTGGACGTCCCAGCGCTGCCACCTCCACATACACATTCCTCCGGCTCACTCCAGGGAGCTCTGTCGTCGGCCACGAGAGCCTCACACCGCGCTATGACCAGAGCCAGTGGAAACTTACACAGGGAAGCCATCAAAGTTATGTGAGCGTATTAGACCTGGGCTATTAACTGCCATTCATTCAGCTATAGGACGCTCTTTTCCCCCGGAAACAGGATTCTAAAGCGATTTTTTTATGGGTATTCTCATGTAGTTTAGAAACAGAATACTGGATATTTGCACTGAAATGTATTTTCTAATGTATTCTGTTCAATTCAGAGTTATCTTTTTACTTGGAATACTTTCACATTATTATTTTGTTGTATATTTTAGTGTAAAAATGCCCAACTTGATAACTTTATAAATGATGATGATACCAGATCATAAATCACACCTGTTTGTCCTGTTAGGTGATGTAAAAATACATATTTTGTTCGTACATGTACTATGGCCCTATTATTGTGTTCTTGAAGGATAAAAATGCATTTTTAATAAGTGACTGTTTTATGAATACAAAGTTGAATACGTGTTCACATTACAAGTTACTCCCAAACCCTAAAAACATGCTTCACAGAATGAATTACAACAAAAAGTATTTATATTTCCTTGTATTGTGAAAATACCAGAATATGAACATAAAAAGAAGATTGAAAAAACCAGACATTGGATAAGTTAATTATCAACTCAATTTAATTCAATTCCCACCTCTGCACCTTCTCCATCGACTCCCACTGATGACTGCTGTTGTTGTGTCCTTGGGCAAGACACTTAACCCCACTTTGCCCAAAAGCCCCCACTGAAAGATCAAGGCTATGCTCACACTTAGAGCAGCCGTCCTCCTGTGGACTCACCACCTGCAGAGGGTCAGTGAGGGGCTGGTGCTATGAGACTTGGGTGGCATCTCTGATTGCCACCCCCCTGACCCAGAAATGGATTAAAGTGTAGAAAATGGATGGATGGTCATTGGTCATTGGATGGATGATCATTCTTGTACAGCCCTTAACCACAACAGTAGTTATCTCAGGGGACTTCACACAACTGTTGAATTTGCCAACACAGATTAGAGAATCAAACTGTTGAAATAAAATAGAAAACACATTGGTATTGGTCCATATGGGGCAGAGGACCAATGTGCATAAGTGTTGATAAATGTCCATAAATGTTGTTGAAAAGATCAGAAGAGCTATTTTCTTCCTCTGAGGATCGGAAATCCCAAGCGAGGCATAATAAGTGTGCATTTTTACAACAGGCCTATATAGAAATAATAAAATACATACATTTTCAATAACTCTTGAATGAATAAGCTGATCTAAAGATGTAGCAGAGTCCAAAAATGCATGCATGTGCCCTAGTTTAGACCCTTGCTCACAACGTTTTTTCCTCAAATTGTTTCGGATATAATTTTTTGTTTAAAATGTGCAGAATCCAACCGTTAACATAACAAGCACAAAGCAATCTACAGTAATTGAGGGAACATATCTTGCCAAAATTGCATTGGAGAATTGTTAGTGCCATGAGTCTCAATTGCAATGCAAAGAATATGATTATTGTGATGAAAAAGTACTAATAGTTTATTAAGTGATAACGAACACAAATGGAAACATGCTAATTCATTTAAAGAGCATCATAAACAAAGGACATGTGTTAGTCTCATTGCTTATATTCTAACTGAAGAGAACTCCTCAGCTCACAAATGAAGAAAAAGCATTTGACTCAAAGAGCATTCTGCTAAAATTATTGCAAAAGGGTCAAAACTGCAATAAAAACGGCAATAACTTCTAATTGTCACGTACTGTTTTGACATCCAATTTAATCAAAACCCTGCACGCAATGTCCTCTAAACTCCAAGATTTCCTTTCACCGATTTCCCCCCTTGTTTTTCCCCTCTCCACTGCTTCTCAAATGCATGACAGAAGTTGGAGCGAGCCGGCCGCAGTGGTGAGCAGCGGTGAGTGCGGTGGTGGGCTGCAGAGGCGGGGGTAAGGGTTACGGTTTGGGGGGCGGGAAGGTGGGTCATGGTGGGGGCTCAGCGAGACCTGGCAAGAGTCAGTCTTTTTCTCATCCGCTGTATCTCCTTCTTTGAGCGCTCAAAGTAATCACCAGGCCTCCTTTTTTTGGAAACCCCTGACTACTGCTTTAATGAAGTGACACTCTTCCTTCGTCCTGTGTCCTTCCCCCCACCCCCCCCCCCCCCCCCCCCGCTCCCCTTTGCTTATCCCACCCCTCTCGTCTGTGTTTTCCCAACATTCCTGCGCCGCTGTGTGACTGTGATGGCTTGTCATCTTGTAGGAATGTCCCGCTCTCCCAACTCGTCCCCCCGATTTTGGCGTGAAGCTGCCGGTTTCCAAAGGTCCCGCACATGGACGCTGCGCAAACACACATATAGAGAGAGACACTATGGCATTTCAGATGTTCAGTGTGCCTGCAGATGGTGTCCATTGGGCCGCATACCTACCCCTGGCGCGGGGCCACTACAAGCACAGGCAGCAATTCTCATATAGTCCCTGGCTTGTTTTCCAGCTGTATAAGTGTGCTGAACATTATTTTGTCTTATGTTGCATGGGGCAATATGGAAAATGACCCAAACCTGCATGAATGGCTCTAAAATAGATTTCAGTGCGTAAATGACAGGAGACAATCAAATGGTTGATTTAGCATGTTACGTTTCCTTTAAAGCTGGGGTACCCAACATTTTACTCATCAATAATCCATGTTGTGACAGAGGGTAAAAATATATGCATGTCAAAACCAGCGCTAAAGTGGTCCGTGTACTTTTGCGTTCAATACATTTTCTATTTTTGAAGGGAAATCGAAAATCGAAAAAAGGCTATTTTGCATTTTCAGGCACACAGCAATATACAAAAATGACCATTTTGGTTTTTTCATTGCTTATAAGACATATATATATATTATAATAACCGGATTTGGGAACTTGAAAATGCAATAATTAACCTTTTTTTAAAATATGTATTTACTACACTTCGGCGTCAAACGATTACCCGAAATGAAACAAGTTTGTTTACTTCAGCCCTATTCGCTCCTGTACTTGTCCAAACACAGACGTTCTGTGATGATACTAATCCCGTGAGAATCTACATGTCAGTGATTGTGATCTTGATTGCCGCTTTTGCTTTACTTTCTGCGTTTTTTTTGTAAATAAGCAGAGGAGTCGCGGATCGCGGCTGTGAACACATACAGAGTCGCGGCTGCTGCTGACGCCAAAATGTATTAAATATATATTAAAAATGTATTAAATACATAATAAATAAGGTTAATTTTTGCATTCTCTAGTTCCCAAATCCGGTTATTATAATATATATGTCTTATAAGCGATGAAAAAAACCCAAAATGGTCATTTTTGTGTATTGCTGTGTGCCTGAAAATGCAAAATTGCCTTTTTTCGATTTTCGATTTTCCTTCAAAAATAGAAAATGTATTGAACGCAAAACTACACAAACCTAAAGGCACCCTGTTTTGAGAGCTAGTTATATGGATTTAAACAACTAACATTTATCATGGATTTGGGGGTTGTGGTTCTCAGCTTGCTTAGTGAAGTGCCTGGATATCAAAAAATACACAAAACCAAATAATAAATGTACTTCACAAATTCCCGGCTACCAAATCCAGGCCCCATCAGAACTCCAAGCCGGTATATTCCGTTGGAAAAACAAATTGCACCATGCCACAGTGACTCCCAAATAGGTCACAACCCCTATATCACAAAAAATAAAAAAATACTCACACTTAAATTACAAATCTTTCAACTCCTATATTTGTCATCCCATCTTCAATATCTCTTTCAAAAACTCCTTAGTCCTCTCATAAACTTTGCAAAACCCTCACATCATAACTAAACACAACACAAACATCAACACCAATACACCACACCCTACAACCCTTCAAATTACCCCCCCCCCCACATTGTCTCCCTCCCCATCCACCAAAAACTCACCCTTACACTATACCACCATAAATAACAAAAAACCCACCACAAAAAACCACAAACAAAACAAAAAAAAAAACTAAGTCATCAAACCCACATACACAACACATCACTCTCAAAAATTGCCCAAATCATCCACCAAACCTACACCCCCCCCTACAACCATTAATCACCACAACCCATCAAACCACATCATACCTAACCAAAATAACAAATCAGAACCATAATCGCATCAATAATCAAATTATAAAAACTAATCCCCAAAACCTCCCTAGCACAAAAAAAAAATATTATAAAACATCCTACCCACAAATTTCATCCAAATCCCCCCCTCACAAATCAATTATTCATCCCCACCTATAAAAACATCCTTACACACATCCCTCCCAATCCTCCTCCACTTCTTAATACCCATATCAAACCCAACCAACCAATCCAATTTTACCAATTGAACGTCATGCAACCCACATTGTCTACTCCATCACGTAAACCCTACACTTGTGACTTGTATCTAATTCGCCAAGGCCACACAAGTGTTTTAATGGCACTGTCCAATATGCGGTAATTAATCGCTCATCTGTCTTAATCGTTGAAATATGGCCACTCTCTACCTACACATAGCCGACCTCGCCTGTGCACTGATCAGAATGCCGTCTCTCTCTACTGTGACATCGCATGACTGCTGCGCCATCTCTACACCACACCCCCCCACCATATATAAACCTTCGTTCATGAGCATTTCCCTGTTGGGCTTCACATAGCATTGTCCGTCTATATACCGTCTATGCTCTGTGACATACAGGAATAGAAAAACCAGGACAAGTGAATAGCCATAGCCAAAGCTTTGATCACATCATGAAGTTTTCACCTCAAAAAATATAAATATTTGTTTGTATGTGGTTGTCCATTTAAATGATAAATAAAAGACTCATTTGTGGTTGGCCAAGCAACTATAACAGCTGAAAACTTCTGTTCAGTACAAGCGACTGCAGACCTCTCCAGTGTAAAATATCACACTGACATAAACGCTAAAACTTTCCTAATTAGGAGCACTGTTCATCCCAGATGTGCCTCTCACAAATGACCACAAGGATAAAGTAACAGTATATACAGAAGACATATCTCGTGACGCTTACAGCTCCTACAGCTCTTTGCAATTAAGCAGTATGCCATATGTTGTCTTAAATTAGGAATTTAAAACCAAATCACGGTTTTGAAATAAAAAGACAATAAACTGGCATATAGTTCAGGCTATTTATTTAGTACATTTGAAAATTCAATATTTAGTTTAAAAACACATGTTACAATCAGCCCCTTCCTCTTTTCTCCGCCACTTCAAATACCGGTAATTGGAATAAACAAGTAGATGCACATTAACATGTAAGTGTGGCAGAGAGTAAAAGGTTTGTCATTCAACACGTGTAGAATGCTCAAACACCATGAATAAGCCAAAACAAACATTTCGACATTGCAAGTTAGATGGAAACGTGTGTACAGTGGCCTGAAAAAGTATTTATACTGCATGAATAATTCCACATGCAATATGTCACAACCACATGTTGTGTTTTTTGTGTGAAAGGGCATTTGTCACAATGGTATACAAATGTGAAACGAAAGCAAAATGATACAGGATTTGATGACACAAAGATTGAAACATATTTATTTATTTGGATGGGGAAGTGTGTATTAATCAACTCCAACATTTATAAATACAGCAGAATGTTGCTAATTTTCATAGCAGTGATCCTTAAGTCCTAAGTCCATTCTTTAAATTGAAACATGCAAATAAGTGTGAGTCAACTGTGTTTCTGTGGCCTCCTCAAAAAAAGTCAAAAGTCACACTCACAAACAAACATTCATAAATCCTCGCCTATTGTTCACGTTTTAATGGTAGGGGATACCGGAGCACCAAGAGGAAACCTACACAGACACGAGGAGAACATGCAATCTTTGATGCGTGAGAATACTGATCACTAAACAGCACCATGAAGATAAGGTAGAGATAAGATATGTGAGGTTATACAAAGGTATATTTGGTTATACAAAGATTCCCCAACAGTTGGAACTCATACTGACCACATTTTAATCCAGCGTACAGGAACAGTGGGAGTACAGGTGAAATACGTAAAATAATTGTATTGTCCATTTACTTGTACTGCACCTTATATATGACAGACTCATTACACACTAAGTGATAACGCCTCTATTTGTTCTAATGTTGGTACTTGGCTCACAACTTGTGAAACCCCAAGTAAAACCTCTCTGAAAATGTTGAAAATGGCCTGAAATAATAATAATAACAACTAACCCTAACCCTTGGCATATGCCTTTATCATGTATTGGCTTCACATTTTAGCTTGAAATGTATAAACTTTTGATCAATATTCTTTTTTACCAAGTTCCACCTGTATGGCACAACTGCGAAACCTACCAAGACACATAATCTATTTGAAGAGGTAAATTCTTTTGCCAATTGTTAACATTGATGTGGGCAATTGATGTGGCCGTGTTTGCAGAATACAGCTGGACTGATCACAGAAGAGTGAGGGCTGTTAGTTTCATTAGATTGTTTTAACTTTAGATTGAGATTCCGAATGCAATAAATATACACTAATAGATTCTCTCAGACTAAGCGGAAGTGTGTTATGTCTTCTGTAAAATTCCATCATTGTAGTATTGTTCAGCACATCTGTTCATTGTGCCGGCAAAGCGCTCAGCATCGGTGAACAAAGAAAGGGACGATGAAGAAGCGAAATAGAGCAAGAGTGAAAGGAGGAGGTAAGGGGAGGCTGATTGATGCCTTTTGATTCAATTCCCAGCGTGTGGAGACACTTGTGCACCCGCGGGGCCTGGGTGTCTTCAGAGGAGCAGAGGAGGCCAATGCAGTGCACTAATTTGAGAGGTACCTTTCATAAATGACGTGTGCTGCTGACGCTCCACCAAAGACCATGCTAATTGGACTGGAACTGGTCTGAAAACATGCAAGAAGTGTGTGCTGACAGAGTTTCTGTAGACTCCTCAAAAACAGTCATAAAAGTACGCTTTGAGGGTGGGTTGGATTGGATTTGTAAACCAAAACTATAACTAAAATAAAAAAAAAAACATTATTGATGTTTTCCTAAATAACATTATCAATGGAAAATGTGAGTGGGCATTAATCAAAATATTTAATTGTGGTTGTGTGCCAATGTCAAAAATAGTGAAGATAGAGATTTATATATGAAAAGTTCATTTGTGAAAACAGATATCTCAGTTTTGAAAATTTGTCAAAAAGTTGTATTCCTCTAGTTACAATCTTCAACATGTTTTGTTGTTGGGAGTACATCTGAAAGGATTTATTTAAGAAAATAAGTAAACTTACTAAAATATATTTGACTTTTCAAAAATCTGCTATGTAATGAATAAATTGTAATATTTT